ATTTTGTTTTTCCGAAACAACAAGTTAAGGGTCCTCTGGTAGGTTAGGAGGGCAGGGAGTTCTTCTGAGGTTTCAAAACGTTATGAAAACTGTTAATTGAAAGTTTCTTCTCCTAACCTGACAGCCTAAGCCAGAGGACCTAAAACAGAAAACGGGACAGTACGTCACTTTCGTGAGTCGATTTCATTTTGAATTACATCGATTTTTAACCTGAGTGCGAATACGAGCGAAAAGCGACGTAATTTGTAAGTGGACGGGTTACTCCATGCTACAGTATGAACATTAACTTCTCTCGAAATCTACAACTAATTCTTGACATGTGGAATTTTTATCATGAATATCAATTTGAACCCATGAACATCATTTGTTCTTAAAGGTGTAGATTTAGTGGGTGAAAGCCTTAACAGAAGGTGTAGAACGAGTGGATGAAAGCCACAGCAGTTGGTGTAGAGTATCTTAGTGTCAAGCTTAGAAAAGAGAGAGATAAGAGATAAGAACAGTTGGGAGCAGCCAGGGCGGACCTGCCTGGCTTGTGTCCGTGTCACACTTTTTTATTTCTTTACGGCATAACTATATGACGTCACGTTAGTCTTACCCACGTGTGCTGCAGCACCCACCATGGGATGCCCACCTGCCCACTGCCATAAGACACTGGCGGGCATGGCGTGCACCACTATGAGCCAGTACCCACCATGGTATGCCCCCTGCCCACTGCCATAAGACACTGGCGGGCATGGCCTGTACCACTATGAACCAGTATCCACCATGGGATGCCCACCTGCCCACTGCCATAAGACACAGTGGCGGGCATGGCCTGCACCACTATGAACCAGTACCCACCATGGGATGCCCACCTGCCCACTGCCCTAAGACACTGGCGGGCATGGCCTGTACCACTATGAACCAGTACCCACCATGGGATGCCCACCTGCCCACTGCCATAAGACACAGTAGCGGGTATGGCCTGCACCACAATGAGCCAGTACCCACCTGAGGTGTCTAACAATAAACATTGCAGTAGTAAATAATATACTGACTCACTACAGCATTGTTAACATCCAGAAAGAACTCAAATGATCCAGCGATTTAAGTGTTAAGGCATGAGACTCAGTTTGATGAAGTCATACCTGAAATATTAGCATAAAAGAATGATTCAAATATTCCATCTTAGAGATGAGGCCAAAAGTAATGATAAATGTTAATGTTTAACATGCAAGGCTCCCATGAGTTTTCTTCCATTTTACAATTTAGAATGGAATGAAACTTCCTAAAACACTGGAAACAAATGTTTACATAATTCTACGCAACAGTTTAATCGCGAGAACGTGACGCATCTATGAGGAAATATTGAACCAGTATGACGGGATCGAACCCGGGTCCTCAAGACTGTGCCCGAGGAGTCCAGAGACGTGGGTTCGAGCCCACCGTACGCTTTCAATATCTCCTCAACAACACAATGTTTTCTTAAATTTCCGTTAAAATGCAAGAAATTATTGTGAAAAAGTACAGTTAAGCAAGTTTATTGTGATAATAACATACATCCCAGAATGATAGAGAGGCTTAGGCTATTTCTACCCAGTTTTTATTGAGTAAACCGCGCCAGTGAGAGCATGTGGCGGTGTTCAGGGCCCCGGAGGTGCCCGCACACGACCTTTAAAACCCGCCAGCCTTGAGGTGTTGGTCACCTCTGACTCGCTCACCAGCCGCTCTGGATCCCTGTACTGTATATGTCTCCCAGTGGTTGGGGACAGGAAGCCGCGTGTCCTCGTGCCACCTTCCCCGGGACGCAACCCACCACAGCTAATGCCCGGGTACCTATTTCCTGCTAAGGCAGCAGAGGCATCGGGGGAAATGAAATATTGTCAAGACGTCTCGTCCTGCCCCGGAATGGAACCGAAGGTAGTGAGCAGACTGCGCTAGCTACTGCACCACAGGCCTTATTAATGGGGTTCCCTGTACTGTATATTGTGATTCCTTGCACCATAACTGTAGTGTTAGTCAGAAGTATTAAAGCTCTATGTTAAGGTCAGCCATTGGTCAAAACTTGTGACTAACGCCGGGAAAATGGTTGTGGAGCCCGGTTGTTGTGGACCCGCTGAGGCTCCACCAACATGATCAAGCTCACGCCCTTACTAAGCTTGCAGTAAATAAATACAATGTTGGGCATAATCTTGGGCTGTCAATATAACTCTTGAAGAGTGTCATTATGAGAGAACTTTCAGATGAAATTGGAGGAAGCAGATGAGTGCAAACAGGAACGAGCACATCCATTGTTTATCACAATGTAAGGAGTCAAACAAAACACTTGTATTGGGCAAGTAACGAAATCAGTAGCTTGATAGATGGTTTCACAGCTGGGATACGGCTTGCCTACAACAGTCTGGCAGTTCAGCTTGTAATGGGATGTAGATGGCATGAAATGTTCAGTGTGTGGAAGGACAGGGGCGCACTACATCTTATACCTTGTGAACATTTTGCCATTAAGAGATAAATCTAATCGTACGTTGCCTGAAATGGAAAATAATTTTATTATAAATGAAAAAAAAAATATCTCAAATTCTTGCACGGTATCCATGTTTCACTTCTAGTAGATAAGTGACTCATGTATCTTACCTTACCTCGGGCCTCTGATGTTGATAGAGTTCTCTCTCAGAGTACCTGTTGCACCTCCGCTTTTCAACGGGGGTAGTCTGCACATCCTGCCGTTTAGCAGCTCATGTAAGATGAAAGTGTAAGCTGTGTAGACTAAAATTATATTCACCAACTCTTATATTACCCTGTAATATTAAAAAATGACAATTATTTTAAATATTACCTAAATGATTTACCTCCAGTATATAATAATGTGATGTAGTTGATACAAGTTGCAGTGCAAGGCGTCTGTTATTAGCCAGCATCACAATTAGTTACAAGGTGTGTCGCTAATTTGTTAATGCTGAACATACACTAAGGTCTGATTAAGACCTTTTGAACCTTTTAAATCCTTTTGATTTAATTGATGTTTATTAACACTCTAAGTTACACTGACACTGGATACCTTAGGAGTTTCTCCGGTGTACATTCCTCAAGGCCAGCAGTTCATCAGAGATGATTCATTCCTTGTCTCTCTGGTATCTGGGATGTTCACTCCTCACAGATATCAGAGAAATCAATTAAGTCAGCGGAGCAAGTGAAAGTTACCTACCCTCAAACCCTTACATTTGTCAGCATTAAACTGTATCTGCCAACCTTTTCACCATTTCAAAACCCTATTTAGTTCGTCTTGAAGTGATAGCGAGTCTCTGTGTTTACCTCCCTCTACGTGGGAGAGTCTCCTGGGTTCACACATGGCTCTATAGCTATTACTTTCTAACTTTTATATTTGATTCCCACATTGAATTGAAGCATTTTCGTGGAGAAATTTCCCCCATGATATATTTCTTGCATTTTCCTGATCGGTCAGTGGTCAAGGGTACACGGTAAAAGGTCATATGGCCGGGTATAATATATTATATTATTTAGTTTAAACTTTCAGGTCAACTCTAAGCCATCAATTATATATTTTCCCTCGTCGAACTCGTTCATTGACCCCAAAGCCTCTGGGTTTATTCACAATAGCGTTCACAAGGTGTCGGGTGAGGCGAGTTGAGACCATATAGAGGGACCTCGATCTCCCAGTCTTGTCGCAAACCAACAGCCCGCTAACCTGACGAGTCAGAAAGTCGTCCGCTCAAAACCGTTTAAGCAAAATCGTCAAGATGCATACATAAGTTATCTATAGAACAAATAATCTTGGAAACAAAAAAATGTACTCGGAAATATGTTTGCCAGACGTCATATTCTTGAGGTGCTCGGTTACTGTTTCGGGAATGTGTGTGTACTGTCGCTGTGGCATATGTCGTATTTCCTGCTTTTCCCGAGTCAGGTACACATGCATGGCTGTGTGTATTTTACGCCAGAGTTGAGAAGGACAGATTTTCCATAATTATTGAGTTTTATGGTGGTCGATTCACAATTATGGCACATCGCCGCAAACAGTGAGCGGTGGCATGGATATAACTCATTCATGTTTATGAGTGACTGAGCGCGTGGAACTCATACGTATTAATGAGAGTGCGTGGAGCTCATACATAATAATGAGGGAATAAACCCGGCGGCCTGTGACAAGTATCTTCATAATGTCTGATGAGTTTCAGTTGTATTTGCAAGCCAAACAATAATGCTGCTTCAGTGGTTCTGGAGGCAGATTTTTCATATCGAGGACCTCCAAAGCGCTTCCTTAAAAGTTGTAATCTCCTTCTTTATCCGAGCTGTTGATCTGTGTAGCAAATATCTGAAAGTTAAGTTGCACGTATTGATGGCCCTGATTGATTTAGCATCACCTATGTTGCAAAAAGGTAATATTTTAAATAAACTGTTGTTTCTAAGAAGGACTAATCGTTAGGCCACGAAGAGAATCACTTTAAAATCAATTGTGTATTTGGTCTAATCAGATAAGAGTTTAGCATAAACAATTCATATGTTTTATATATTTCCTTGTCTCATAATATAAATGGATTAACGAATTGTTTTTAAATAATTGTATTTAACAGCCGTATAAAAAGTGGATTTTATTCACTTTTAAAAGTGGATAAATTTTTTATCCACTTTTAAAAGTGGATACTAATTAATGAAAACCTGACACGAATGTTAAGATATGCCCGAAACACTGCTTGAGTGATTAAAAGGAGTGAGTGAAACGCTGCTGCTGAGTGATTAGTTGCTGTACAAAAGTACTTTTGGTGAGCGCAGAGTGGAAACGCTTCGCGGTCCTGTTTAAACCCGCAAGCCATAGTTTCCCACACTTGTTTCTAAAACTACCAGCGGTGATATTTTTTTCTAATTTCTGTTGTCAATTGTATCGTATTTTCTTGTAAAATTTGTATATAAAACATTTTTTTAATTAATAGCTTTCAAAACTGTAGTTAGTAAATAAAACGTTAAATGTTTTGCAAATAGAGATTTATTTCGGATCAAGAAGAGAAGGTTTAGAAGGTGTAGAGCGAATGTCTCATTCGTGGTCCTTGTTTACACTTGACAGCTCACCAGGCGACATTGTCTCACCAGCAGAGGACTGTAAGGGTGGAGTGTGAACCCCTGAGACAAAGTGTCGCACCTCGGTAGTGAAGGTGAGTGATCCTGAGGGTGAAGCGCTGACTCTGGTCCTGCTGTGTTTCGAGCCTAACCACGAAGCACTTTGCTGACGAGTCTGTTTACGCCATGTTGACCAGACGGCCTCGAACCACCCGAGATGCTTGCTGACATTTTCTGAGTATCCTTGTCCATGATTCGAATTGGCTTTTAGGCACCACGTGAGGCTTGGTTATAATACAGCGGTGAGCATGGGCTAGGGTCGCCATTAGCTTCTTGTAGGAGCAATAATGAAATTGGGAAAATGTTGTAAGATAAAGGCGAACCACTTCGAGTGATGGTTCACAGGTTTCGTGGTGGTTATGATGAGCATCTGACTCGAGGGGTTCGACTCCCGGGTCTCAGGAGGTGTACTCACCTAATTGTGCTTGCGGCTGTTGAGCTTGGACTCTTTGCCCCTGCCTCTCGACCATCAGTCACCTGGTGTACAGATCCCCAAGCATATTAGTCTCTATCATATCTACATTTGAAACTGTGTATGGAGTCTGCCTCCTCCACCTCGCTGCCTAATGCATTACATGTGTTAACTACTGACACTGAGAAAGTTCTTTCTAATGTCTCTGACTCATTTGGGTACAATACTCAGTTTCCACCTGTGTCCCCTTGTGTGAGTCCTACTTTCCTTAAATAATCTGTCATTATCTACCCTATCAATTCTCTGAGAATTTTTTATGTGGTGATCATGTCTCCCTTAACTCTTGTCTTCCCTAAATTTTAGTGTGAGGTTTGTTAATATAGTCCACATAGCTCATACCATGCAATTTAGGGTACTAGTCTGGTGGCATATCTTTGAACCCTCTCCAACTTAGTCATGTACTTGAGTAATTACAGACTCCATGCTAGAGCTGTATACTTAAGAACTAGTCTGACATATGTGGTATACAAGGATCTAAATGGATTCATTACACAAGTTTCTAAAGGTGTAATTACTTCAAGTGTTGTTACAGGATGAGAGCTATGCTTGTGATGTCCTGTCTTCCCAGCACTCTTTGTCATATAACGCTTAGAAATTACTGACGGTTTTGGCCTCCACCACCTTCTTGCCTAACTTGTTCCAACCGTCTACCACTCTGTTTGCGAAAGTGAATTTACTTATATTTGTTCGGCAGCTTTGTTTAGTTAGTTTAAATTTATGACCTCTTGTTCTTGAAGTTCCAGGTCTCGGGAAATCTTCCCTATCAATTTTATCGATTTCCGTTACTATTTTGCATTAGTGCTTATTGGCCCCGCCTCTCGACCATCAGTCACCTGGTGTACAGATCCCTAAGCATATTGTCCCAATATCTAATGAAAATCTCACTGACCTATCAATTTCACAAAGACCTGAAAGTTGTAGCATTAAATATTACGATAAATATCATGAGGAGACATTCACATATGGGACTAATAGAGTAAAAACTCGGCAATGTGATTCTCAAAACCCAAGTGTCGAGTACACAATGTGTCAACTTTGTGAAAGAGAAAACATGCACTCACTTGAACATTATATTGGTAGAATGTCCCATATTGACTGACTTTTGCCCTCCTGGGCTGAGGTATGTTGAACTCTGTAACTACTATATAGGTACTGGAACACTTGATGGTATATTGGACTTGTACCTAAGATTGACCAATGTATCAATTATACAGTGTATGTATGTGATGTAACTATATAACCTGAGCCATCTTAATCACTTTCAGTGGTTAAGTGCTTAATAATAATAATAATTAATTTATTTAGGAACAGTACATACATAGTTGCAGAGTTACAGTACATACTGTTAGATTTAAAGATAGAGGTAATACATACAATACCTAAAGCCACTAGTACGCATAGCATTTTGGGCAAGGAGAGGTGGGGAAAAAACACTTGGACTAAAACTTAATAGTAATTGAGCTTAAAGTATAAATTGTGTTGAATGAAAAAAATAATAAAAGATAAAAATAGGGGGGAACATGGTAGAAAATAGCCAATATACAAGTTGGTCAACAAACAGCATTTTTTTTTTTTTTAATAGTAAGACATGGGTTAACATTTAGAAGTAAGGTAGGTTACATGGAGTTAATTAGGTAGTACTTAGTTTACATCTTACTGGTTGAGAGAGGTACAATCTTTAACATAATTGGGAAGGTCATTCCACATTCTGCGTCCCTTGATTTGTAGAGCATTCCTAGTTTGATTAATTCTAACTCTTGGAATATCAAATAGGTATTTGTTTCTGGTGTGGTGCACCAGAAATTATTTTTGTCTACAAAATGTTAGACTGGAAATCTAGTGAAATAGTACATAAAAACAAAACAACAAAATCATTAGTGGAAGGGGGAGTAAAGAATGAAGGGGAAAGGGAACATGTTCCTGAAAATTGTATATACCAACATGGATGGAGTGAGATAAAAAGTATTGGAGCTGAAAGATACAATTCAGCTTAAGTCCCAGATATTGTTTCATTAACATTGACGGAACTTGAAGAAAATATTTTAAATGAAGTCGTATTCCCAAGGGGCTACTCAGTTTGGAGACATGACAGGAAAACTAGGAAAGGGGGGAGGAGTGGCTGTGCTGGTGAAAGAACACCTGAAGGTAAAAAAGTTAATAATTGAAAACCCTCGATGTTGACATCGGCCATGCCGATGTTGACAATGGCATGGCCGCCATTGTTATGGCGGCCATGCCATAACAATGGCGATCGAGCCTTGTCACTGAGAGCTAGCCAAGACGAAATATTTTGAGCTCGCCTATTCTCTGCTGACGGTAGAATATACATTTGCAGAGACTAATATGTAGCTTTTGTTGCATGTTCATGTGTTTTGATTTACCCTGAACAATGCAGGTAATGTATTTTTAATGTTACAACACACGCTGTGGCGGCCATGCCATAACAATGGCGATCGAGCCTTGTCACCGAGCTAGCCAAGACGAAATATTTTGAGCTCGCCTATTCTCTGCTGACGATAGAATATACATTTGCAGAGACTAATATGTAACTTTTGTTGAAAAAAAACAATATCTTGTAATACTATAATAAAATTGGTAAATTGACTTACTTTTAATGAAGCTGAAGATTACGAAGCTGTGAAGATTACGTCATCCTCTGCAGCGCTTGTTTTATATTGTTTATATTGTATACAGGGTACATACTGTATGTACACTTATTTTCAGGCATATTATATTGTTTATATTGTATACAGGGTACATACTGTATGTACACTTATTTTCAGGCATATTTTAATAGAGTATCCTTCTGTTTCTTGATGTCACTTACTGTACTTTTCCCGATGTTAAACTCTGCTGCTGCTCGTGCATGAGAATATCCTTTATCAAGTTTCTTAATTAACTCCAGCTTCTGTGCAACCGTCAGGCGCTTCCTTTGGGTAACTTTTGGCATTTTGTAAATTAAAAAGATCACAATTACAGTACAGTAATATCCTTCACAATTGAAGCTAGCCGCGCGAGTTCACAGTAAACACTGGGAACACATGGCCCGGCGGAGTACATTCTAGGTCCGTGGGGAAAAAAAATACCTAGTGCCTATACTATAAAAGGTATTTAATAAGAAAACAAAGACTTTTGCTTAATAAAAACTGTTTCAAAATATTTTATTAATAATAATTTACAATTTTCTTCATTAAAGTAAATCATTTTAAAAGAAAATTAAGATGTAATATATGACTCTGGACGATCCAGGTCGGTGGCCTGGTCGCCATGTGAGGGGACGCTGATGCCACAACAAACCCAATATCGACCGCAGACCGGTATAGCAGGCTCCAGATACCGGTCTCCCAAACCGGTCGTTAATACCGGCAGATCGGTATAAAAGAGGCCGTTAAATTGAGTGGATACTTATCTTAGTATCTGTGTTTATTTGTCACCATACTTTACGTAACAATAGAACCGTTACAACATAATGGTATTGCATGTCTGGAATTGGGATGATAAACTGATAGTTGTAAATGCCTACAGCCCACCAGCAAGCAACACATGGACACAGGAAGAACTGGATGACAAACGAGAGGGCCTCATAATGATCACGAGAGATTATAGTGCAAGCAGATAAAAATGAATCATGATTGTTGGTACTGAGGGACTTAAACTTTAAAGCAATAGACTGGGAGGCCTACGAAGCAAGAATTGAGGACATTTGGACAGGCAGATTTGTAAACCTCATTCTGGAGACATTCATGTATCAACACATGCTGGGCAGACTGCATATTTTTGGATTGCCAGAAAACCTTTCACGCAGTACAACACAAGAGGCTAGTGCACAAGCTGGAGATGCAGGCGGGAGTTAAAGGGAAGGTACTCAACTGGAAAAGGGAGTACAGTACCTAAACAGAAGACAGCGAGTCGCTGTGAGGGGGGAAGAGGTCGCAGATTGGGGAGGATGCTACAAGTAGAGTTCCGCAGGGTTTAGTCCTTGGACCTATACTGTTTCTGATATATATAAATGATCTCCCAGAGGGTATAGAATCGTTCCTCTCATTGTTTACTGATGATGCTAAGATTATGAGGAGGATTAAGACAGGAATGAGGCTACAAGATGACCTAGACAAACTGAATGAATGGTCCAACAAATAGCTACTAATGTTCAACCTGAGTAAATGTAAGGTAATGAAACTAGGCAGTGGAAACAGGAGGTCAGACACAAGATACCGAATGGGAGAAGTAGTTCTTCATGAAATGGATAGAGAAAGATCTAGTAGTTGATATCACACCAAACCTGTCTCCTGAAGTCCACATAAAATGAAAAACATCGACAGTGTATGCAAGGCTGGGTAACATCAGAACTGCCTTCAGGAACCTGTGTAAGGAATCATTCAGAACCTTGTATACCACATATGTAAGATCAATCCTAGAGTATGCGGCCCCAACATGGAGCCCATACCTTGTCAAGCATAAGAAGCTGGAAAACGTTCAGAAGTATGCCTCTAGGCTAGTCCCAGAACTAAGAGGCATGAGTAACGAAGAAAGGCTGCGAGAAATGCACCTCACAACTCTGGAAGACAGAAGAGTAAGGGGAGACATAATCACTACCTACAAAGTTCTCAGAGGAATTGACAAGGCAGATAAGAATAAACTGTTTTAACACTGGGGGTTAGCGAACAAGGGGACACAGGTAGAAACTGAAGACCCAAATGAGCCACAGGGACGTTAGAAAAACTTTTTCAGTGTCAGTGTAGTTAACAGGCGGAATGCATTAGGCAGTGATGCAGTGGAGGCAGACTCCATACACAGTTTCAAATGTAGATATGATAGAGCCCAGTAGGCTCGGGAATCTGTACACCAGTTGATTGACAGTTGAGAGGCGGGACCAAAGAGCCAGCGCTCAACCCCCGCAAGCACAACCAAGTGAGTACGTCAAGCTGGCCGCAAGAATGAGGGAAGGAGATTTTCCATCAGTACTGGATCTAATATTCACCTAGAAAGATTAAATATGCTTCGAGATATAATGTAGAAGAAAACGGGGACATTGAAACAGTTGTTAATCTGGATTTCAAGATTAACTTTCAAGATCAAGGACACTATGGGGAATTTAGAAATTTTTTTAATGGGTGTAATTGGACAGACTTGTTGCTAGGCAAGGAAGTAAACGAGATGCATGTCAAATTTTGCAAAATATACGATGAAGGCACACATTCATACCAAAACGGAGATTTAGTACCAGAAAACAGGATTCGTTTAACAGAAATTGCGAGAGGGGCCAGAGACCAAAATGACACAAAAATGGAATCAGTATAGGAAGAGGCCAAAACTGCAAACATTCCAGCGATGCAAGGAACATCTACACAGCAGTAAGGAGAGATGCAGAATAAAATTTTGAAAAAGGGATAGCAGACAAATGTAGAACAGAACCAGACCTATTCTATAAATTCATAAACGACAAATTGCAGGTAAAGGATAATATTCAAAGCTTGAAAATGGGAAACAGATTCACAGAAAATGAAAAGGAAATGAGTGAAACATTACGCAAAAAGTTCCAAAGTGTGTTTGTACAAAAATGAAATCTTCAGGGAACCCGACACAATAAGAATTCCAGAAAACAACATAGACACCTCTATGTGCTCTAAGAGAAAAAGGGGAAAAAATACTCAAAGAGCTAAGAAAGAACAAAGCAGTTGGCCCAGATGGAGTTTCACCATGGGTTTTGAAAGAATGTGCACCTGAACTCAGCATTCCACTTCAACTGATTTTTCAGACATCCCTGTGTACAGGAGTCGAAGGAGATGTGTGAAAAAAGGTTAACATAGTTCCAGTCTACAAAAGTGGGAGCAGGAAAGACTCCCTCAATTATAGACCTGTATCGCTGACAAGGTCTATAATTTTTCCGATAGTCCAAATATTGGAAAAAATAATTAAAACTAAATCGGTAGAACACCTGGGAAAAACTGATTTAATATCAGTCAGTATGGTTTTTGATCTGGAAGATCCTGTGTAACAAGATTTTTCAGAGATTTTACAGGAAAGAGATGGTTGGGTTGACTGCATCTATCAGGATCTAATAAAGACTTTTGACAGAGTTCTACATAAGAGGTTGTTCTGGAAACTGGTACATATTAGAGGGGTGACAGGTAGGCTTCTAACATGAATGAAAAATTTTCTGATAGAAAAATGAGGGCACTAATCAGAGGAAATGTATCGGACTGGAGAAATGTCCCAAGTACCACAGGGTTCAGTTCTTGCACCAGTAATGTTCATTGTCTACTTAAACAATCTACCAGATGGAATACAGAATTATATGTACAGTACATGTTTGCTGATGATGCTAAGATAATAGGGAAGATAAGTAACTTAGATGATTGTCATGCCCTTCAAGACGACGTGGACAAAATAAGTACATGAAGCATCACTTGGCAAATAGAATTTAATGTAAATAAATGTCATGTTATGGAATGTGGAATAGAACATAGACCCCACACAACCTATAAATTATGTGAGAAATCTTTAAAGAATTCTGATACAGAAAGAGATCTAGGGGAGGTTCCAGATAGAAAACTATCAATACAATACAATACAATACAATTTTATTTAGGTAAGGTACATACATACAATAAATATATACAAGGATTGTTTGACTTATAGGTATAGCTAGTACATACAATGCCTAAAGCCACTATTACGCAAAGCGTTTCGGGCATCACTGAGGATCACACAAAGAACAAGGAGCAAGGGGCACATGCTACACTTTCTAACTTCAGATTTGCTTTTAAATGGATGGTGAAATATTGTAAAGAAATTGTTCATAACATTTGTTAGACCAAAGCTGGAATATGCAGCAGTTTTATGGTGCCCATGTCTTAAGCACATCAACAAACTGGAAAAGGTGCAAAGATATGCCAAAAGTGGCTCCCAGAACTGAAGGACAAAAGCTATGAGGAGAAGTTAGAGGCATTAAATACATATGCCAAAACTAGAAGATAGAAGACAAAGAGGCGATATGATCACTACGTACAAAATAATAACAGGAATTGGTAAAATTGATAGGGAAGAATTCCTGAGATCTGAAACTTCAAGAACAAGAGGTCATAGATTTAAACTAACTAAACAAAGATGCCGAAAAAATATAAGAAAATTCACTTTCGCAAACAGAATGGTAGATGGATGGAACAAGTTGGTGAGAACGTGGTGGAAGCCAAAGCAGTCGGTAATTTCAAAGCGTTATATGACAGAGTGCTGGGAAGACGGGACACCACGAGCGTAGCTCTCATCCTGTAACTACACTTAGGTAATTACACAGTATCTGAAGGCAGTAATAATAGTGGGTGAACCAATCATTTATAAGAATGCAACTTTTGTAGTGATATACTCAACCTTTACTTAATTGGGAATTTCAGTTAGAGTTTGTGAATAGTTTGGTAAAAATTGCTGGTCCTTGCCTAGAATCTTTTACATGACTGGGCTATTTTTGGCCTAGACTATACAGTACTTAGATTTTACTTTATATTAGTTACCTGGACTAGTTGAATGTTGCAGTAAATTACTGTATTACATTTTCCAGAATCAAGTATCTCTAGGGAAGGGTAAACCCTGCTAACCCTATCCCTATATTTTAATATTTTTGTATTTTATATTCATTTTATACATTGATATAGAGTACAGTACTATATTCTTTAATGCATTATGATATTTCTTGTATTATTTCTTATACAGTATCATTGAATTATTAGTGATTATAGTATTGTATTTATCTGTTGGATAATTTAGTTTTACAAAATGCATACATTATTAGTGACTTATAAATGAAGAAATTTTTCCAACTAATTGCCACTTATAAACAAGTGTCAATTATTTCATTTAATTGATTCTTCACTGACAACTATTTGCTACGTGTAATAAGTTATCATGTATGATTTGGGTTACATTTATTCTATTGTTTGTGTTGGTAATTAATTACTATTTAGTTAAATATGTACCATCATAATACATATGATGGTACATATTTAATGAATTTATATTCCCATTCCAAGTCTGAGTTTTGCTGTACCATCATAATGCATATGATGGTACATAATGTACCATCATAATACATATGATGGTACATATTTAATGAATTTATATTCCCATTCCAAGTCTGAGTTTTGCTTGATCCAGGAATTATGCACTTTACATTTTCTACATCTCACATTTGAGGAATATTTATTGTATAAAAGCTTTATTTTTATTGGGTCTTTCATATTTACACACAGGAACAATGCAGAAAAAACGGTCTGCTGTTTGGAGACATTTTGAGGAGGAGGGGGATAACAAAGTAGCTTGTAGGACGTGCCATAAACGACTCACAAAGCATGGAAACACCTCTATGATGATTCGCCACCTCCGAGGGCAGCACCCAGAGTTGATGCATTGCCAGCTGGATGCTGAGGGACCCACTGTAACTGGGGAAGGTGTTTCATGGCAGATAGAAGAACAACAAGTGGATGATGTAGTGGAATCACTTCCTTCTCTGGATAATTCAGGTAACTGAATAATGATACATAACTTTAAAAATAATGAAATTGAAGTTATAATTATGTAAATAGTTTGAAGTAAAACAAAAATCCCTTGCTACATGCAGTGTTTCATGCTAGTCTTTAAGGTGCTAAGATATGTTCTATTATTTGTAGTAAGAGGCCTAAAGACCTGTGTAATATTGGAAAGCAAAAATTTTATTGATGCCTTGTAAAATGACCTAAGTGTGTAGTTAAATGATCACCATGACCGCCAAATGACTTGGTTCATATTTCATTTAAATTGTTATATGTTGAGAATGAGTAAACTTTATTTGCTTGTGTAGCTGTAACAGTTGTAGTAAGTTATTTGCTGTGAGAGAGATGTGAATTATTTTGTACCAGTTTTAGTGCCCTTGCTATTCTTAATGTACTGTATGTGTATTGTCAAAAAATTCTTTTAAATAGCTAAGATTTGTACTGATCAACAGCATTAATAGCAAATTTTAACAAAATATAAAGTTGCTTTAAAGTTGCTGACATTACTTTTATTGTTATAGTTAGTACAAATATAATTGGTGCTCATGATGTTCTTTTATATAATGTCAGTGAAGAAGAAAAGGTCGACAGTTTGGAGACACTTTCAAGAAGAGGGAAATGACAAAGTTAGCTGCAGAATATGTAATGAAAAGTTGGCCAAGCACGGGAACACCTCATCAATGCTGCGTCATCTCCGTGGCAAACACCCACAGCTCAAGTTAGGGGATCTCCAGGGAGACAGGTAGGAAGGGTAAATAGTTTTATTTAGATATACTGTATAGGGAGGTGTCTTAACAAACTTGATAACCAAAATTTGTAAATTGCACACGAAGTTGGTGACCATGGGGCTGTCTATGCTGATTGTCTGGTTGACTGACTGGCAATCTGGCTGTCTGGCTACAATGTAAGGGTAACCGAGGACATTTCCATAGTGTTCACCCCAAGTTTAGTCTATCATGTGTGACTTTGTGGGTCACCGAGGCCATACGAGTGTCATTCCTAACAACATTACCATCACCACACCCGAGAACACTCAACACTGACAAAGACTCCTGTCACCCATACCTATACTGTGTTCCCATTTTTAGCTAGCTAGCTAGCTGGTTGGGTGTCTAGGTCTCATATTGTCTGGTTGACTACTGGGATGTGGGCTTAGTGTGACCAACCCATCCTCTAGCCATGTTCTTCCAAGCTGTGGCCAACCCTAAAGATGCATTCATAAATTTTAATGAACTGTGTATTCAGAAGTGCTATTTTCTCAGATGTAAATTAATTATATTTTATATGAGAATTGTGTGTATAGTTTGGTCAAGGCTTGATTAAGTTATATAGGTTCTATTTGCAATTATTTGTATTTGCAGTGCAAGTGCCAAACATTAATGAAGGTTAGATTTGAAGATAGGAAGTAAGCAAAGTACTGTTCAAGAAAAGTACAAATATAATCAGCTGTAAATCATGTTGTAAAGAGTTTTTCATTCCTACATAGATTAAGTAGTTGGATTAATGTGCATTTGGCCAGTGTTTTAATTATGGGGTGATTTAGCTTAGGCAGCACTAGAGGGTTCAGAGACAAACTGTATAAGAGTAAGCAAAAAGTTAGGAGGAAAAAAAAATCATTGATTCCTTATGGAATGTAGTCTGATTCAGATTTTTTCCTCCCACCAATGTGTTCATGGTCTGTATAGGTAAATTTCAATCATTGACTATGCCTACAAAATATTAGTGATAATTAACTTTGTACGATTTTTATTAATTTCCTTTAATTCCAGGAAGTTAAATCGCTTGCATCTTCGATCAAGCAACTCGGAGACAAGATTTTTGTCTGTGTGTGAAAGATTGTTGCGTCATAATCAGCTGACTGACTGTACCCTTGTAGCTGATGGTCAATTTGTTCAAGCTCACCGACTGATCTTGGCTACGTGCAGGTATAGTTTTTAAATTTAGTGTCTAGTTTTGGTCATTTTATAGTGAATATATTAGTTGGTCATGATATGTAATTTTCACGTTTTTGTAATTGTTTAAAGCACCTAAAGAGTAATATTTTTATTGATTAACCGAGCCAAGATTTATTAGCCCTGTTATCATCATTGCCTCATTTCCTGCTTCATGAGATGAGAAAGCATTAGATCAAGGTAAAGTAGGAAAGCAAACTATGGAAAGAAGGAAGCCAGTCTCACACTATGCAGCATCACATAACCTCAGCACCAACCAACTCCAGTAAACCATCCATGTCTGTGTGTCACATTGCTTCACACAACTGCTTATAAAATGCTTCCCATGACTTGTCATTTAGAATACCAATTTGAAAAAAATTATAATAAAATTTAAATGGCTTTAAGAAATTATTTTTAAATTTAATAATTTGTTATAAAAATTGATGCAGTAGCTTGTAGTGTTAGCTTAAGAATACTTAATTTTTTTGTTTGTAGTACTGTAATGGTGTATGTTTTTGTCCCCACAGTGAAAGTTTTGAAGACATTTTTAAAACTGTGACAAATGCAAACCCAGTTATTGTACTTCGGGACATTACAATTCAAGAACTTCGTGGTTTGATCAACTATATTTACAAGGGTGAGACTCTTGTAAAATCAAGTGAGCTTCCAGGGCTCCTTAAAGCAGCATCACAGCTTAAAATTAAAGGTAAGTTGAAACCCATTAAAATATATAACAGGAAGAATATGATTCATTAATCTATTCTGCAAGCAACATTCAAATTAGTACTGTAATGGTTAAAAATTGATGCAACTTAAATTAAATCTTGACTTGTTTTCTTGTGAATTCTATTTTTATTAAACCGAAATGAGCCTTATAAAATACGTACCTGGGTATTAATCCTTAAACAGCGCAAAACGTACATATATGATTGGACGTAACATCAGTTTTTAAAACTTGCACAAATATTTTTCAATTTTTTATGCATAATAAACTCTGCAAAGGCTCCAATTTTGTCACTTGATCACCAACATAACTTGAAAAACAAGAAAATCAAAAATAATTTTAAAATTAAATATTGAAAGCTTCAGAGTTTCAAATCAAATTCAAAAATATAAACTATCGCCAGTATTTCATTTAGTGTTGTTATGCTCTCGGAACAGCATATGATCTTCATTTTCATCAAATTAGAATACTGTATAGGTTTTCAGTATACAGTGGGGCCTCGACTTACGATGGTAATCTGTTCCCAGAGACGGATCGTAAATCGAAATATCGTAAGTCGAAGCGATTTTTTCCATAAGAAATAAAGGGAATTGAATTAATCCGTTCCCCACCCTTCAAAATATTAACTTACAAATACATTTTATGCTGAATACAATTTTTTTTCCAAACTACAATACAGTACATGTTTATCTTACCTTTATGGAGGACTCGTGATGCATATGGAAGATGGTGAGGAGGGGAGGAGAGGTGTTACTGTTTGGAAGGGGAGTCCCCTTCCATTATCACATCAGGCAGTGAGGACTTCTCTGGGGTTCACTCTCTCCTACATTTTACCTGCATACCACTAGGACCTGGTTGTGATTCACTACTTGTTTGTCTTACTAAAAACCTTTCCAGAGATTCTTGTTTTTCTATATGTTTTAATTTTTGTCTGTAGTGAGGCATCACAGTGTCATTAAAAAGGTTAAGGCAACGGCCTACTGCACCGTGATTTGGGTGAGTCGTTTCAGCAAAAGTTTGCAATTCTTCCCATGCTGCACACATTTTCTTAATTAATGAGGATGGGACATTCTGTACTCTCCTGAAGAAATTTCCTCAGCTGTCTCTTGGTGCTGCTCCTTGTGAAGTTCTTCGGTGGTCAGTTCTTCACTGTGTTCCTTGACCGGCTCGCAACACACAACACTCAAAACACTATGAATGCCACTTAAAATAGCATTTTATAATTAAAATGTATAAAATATAAAATAGAGTTTGAAATCTCTGAAAAAATCATCCAAAAAAAATTCCAAGTTCCAAGTTCTGCGAGTTCTGTTACTGATTTATTTGTTGACCAATTTCATTCCATCTTCAGATAGTTAGGGATGTGTATGCACTCTCCAGGATGTAAAGGTTCTAACAAAATCGGATAATAAACAAAGTAAAAAAAAAAATTAAAATTTAAAAAAAAAAAAATCGGATCCCGCTTGCTACATGCAGGTCGGCGTTCAGTCCCCGACCGTCCAAGTGGTTGGGTACCATTTCTTCCTCCCATCCCATCCTAAATCCTTATCCTGACCCCTTTCCAGTGCTAAATGGTCATAATCGCCTGGCGCTTTCCCTTGATAACTCCCTTCCCCCCCCCCCCAAATGGACATTGATGAAAGTAACAGATATTAACATTGGGCAATGTTTTTATATGATGTATAACAAAATAGAGCATAATAACATAATTATTCATTATTATGTTGTTATATATTACTCGGCAATGCCATAAAGGCACCAGCTGCATATCCACTTTGTGGACACTTCTTACTACTATTCTTCTTCTTTGAGCGTCGGACAGGTGCTTGCATCTCTTTATTATTCCATTATCCCTCGGTTCCAATTAATAGGAGCTGTTCTCGTCAACAAAACGTTCTTCTTTTTAAAAAATTTGTCTAAAATCAATTTCAGAAAATATTTTGATGGAAGTTTCATGGCCCTGAAGCCAATAAGTTGAAGATTTGCAGACGAGGAGTCACAATAAATTGGCTGAAATATGTTGGTCAGAAACAGTGTGTGAAAGTTGACCAAACCACACACTAGAAAGTGAAGGGACGACGACGTTTCGGTCAGTCCTGGACCATTCTCAAGTCGATTGTGTCGTCCCTTCCTAGAAACATTGTCGTCCTCTCACTTTCTAGTGTGTGGTTTGGTCAACAAGTTGGAGATTTGTTTAACATTTTTAAGTAATTTTTACATAATTTGAATATTTTTCGTTTTGTGACCTCTAAGGATGCGCCGTTTAAGGGTTAAGCAACTGTTCTAAGTTGCATCCTGAAGGGGGTCAGTGATTGGCCCTTGTAGGACCTCAATAAGCCTTACAGGTTTCCTCTACTGGTAATAAGAAACTTGTCTAGTTTTCAAAAGTTGCATATTATTTTACATGGTTCATATTCTGTATGAAATAAATAAGAATGGTGACGTATTAGAAGTGGGTCGAATATATTAAGCGCTGAGGTTGTGTAATTGATAAAAGAGAATTTTGTGTAATCGCAGTTGAGAGTAGTGCAAGTTGGGAAAGAATGGTGGTTATTGCAATAAATGTCCTAGTTTTGAGAAACCCAAGACAGAGTGACAGATGCAGCCAGAGGTCTGCATTGAGGAGTAGTTATGCTGGACCATTATGTACAGGTGCAAGATGATGGGGTATGAATGAGAAATTTTGACTTAGGCTGTTTAAAATAGTACAAATAAACACTACAATGTCAAAGGTACACCTACAGATAAAGCTCGCTAATTATTATGCGTCATTATTAAGAATCAGGCAGGTCTGACCAATATCTATTATTTTCAAAAAGGGAAATGTGATAAGCAGGTTAATTAAGATATGTTAACGTGAAACAATTAAAATGATACTGAATGAAGATACGAGTGGGATTCAGCTGGACAAGGCAGAGACTTTTGAAGAGGAAATATAGTAGTTTGAAATTATCGAAGATTGAGGACTTCTGACGCAGTGAGTTTGAATACGAAAAACCCTGGAGGAGCTTGGAAAACCTTGCTTCCAAGGTGAGTGATTTATTATGTGGCAAGCAAGAGCATTGACAGCCATTAAAGACACTTCTCTTAAGAAGAGCATTGATAAAGAGAGTACTGTGAAGAAATATTGTACAAGTATTAGTATTGCATTTAAATGGGCGGGGAGGGAGGGAAGAGTACTTGTAGAATGTCAGTACAGTATATATATGCCAATTTAGAGGGGAAGTTACCTGTGGTGAATGCATGTAACTCTGTGGGTGGAGCTTTCTGTCTTTTAGCTATGCTTATATTAAAAGAAAGTGAAGGAGACTTAAATGCTGAAGATAACAATAAAAAATAATAATTCATTTTGTTAGGGGATAAGCAGCTAGAGTATATTTATACACGGTAGGCTTATATCAAGATTCTTCCCCCCCCCCCCCCCCAGTCGAATTACTGACCTTGCCCAGGATGCAACCCCACAAGAAGCTGATAACTCCTGAGGACCTAGTTACTGTTAGGTGAACAGTCCAAATAGGTGAAAGGAAATGTGCCCAACTACAGTATTTCTGTGTCCCACCCCAAGATTCGAACCCAGAATTCTCGATTGTGCGTCAAAATTGAACCCGCTGTACAATACTACCGGGTCTCTGCTTGGAAACATTTTTTTTTCCTGTTAAAGCAACAATATCTATGTAGACAAATGTAGGAAAAAGGCCTTCTGTAGAATTATTTTGTAGGCTGTAATAAAAATGAAGGACCAAGTGCCTGAGAGTGTACATTATAGGATTCTGGTGATGGGAAGAAATGGTTTGACCTGCTGAAAAAGTGGTAAAAGTTTGTTCCCTGTGGGTCTTTGCTGACTGAAAATCGGCAAATGAGTCTGGTGTTTATATTTCAGCCAAAGAATATTGTTCATGTGGTCCTGGATGTTCTTGTAGATCAGGAGAGTATCTTGAATGTATTTGATGAAGCAGGTTGGGTGAACAGTTTATGGAGAATGCTTGGGCTAGTGGGGCAAAAGACTGTTGCATGTCTATAATGTTTCCCAACACATCGTTCACTAGCTAATTCTCTTGTCAAATGTTGGTGTTGTAAGAAAGAGAGAGACATGAGCTATGAGCATGTGTGGAGGGTTCAGCCTATTGCGTAGGGTGTATGGGAGAGGGTGATAGAAGTGTACCCAGGAGTGGGTGCCTTTTTTGTTTTTGTCAGCTGAATACAGGGAATTGTGGGGTCAGAATTGGCCAAATTGGCCTAGCGAAAGTTGCCTGTTGTTGTTTTAGATTCGGCTACTCGGAACAGAAGTTCCAAGTAGCACAGGCTATGGTGAGCCCGTAGAGTGGGAAGTTGCCTTCTTTTGGTTCCCTGGTTTTTAGCTTTATTTGCTCCCATGGAATGTTTACTTTTATGAGTGAATAGAAAGAATTTGGAGTAACATGTGCTAACAGTAACATGTAGACGTGTTTGGTTAATTTGCGATAAAGTGACATAACTAGTAAAATCTTGTATGGTGAGGCATAGTACTCTGAAATACTGTAGCATGATATAGAGCTAATATTTGTGAATTAGAGTGCTTAAGGTAAAATAAAGTTTTAAGGAGGTTGTCCAGGGGATAAAGAAGAGGAGAAAATTGTTTTTAATTGTATGACAGTGTTGAAGAGTAATGTTGATCCTAGGATAGAGAAAGCAGTCAAGGATTGGTAAATGATTCAGTAGAGGTTGTAAACTTAGCAAACCTGATGAAAACATAGCTATGGAAGACTATGCTGCTACATAAACTACCTGGATATGTGCTTTCCTTTGATAATTACTTTCAATGTTCTAGATCATCCCTATAAATAAAGGTCAAGTAGGTTGCTATAAAAGATATCACATTAATATGTATCTGCACAGTCTATATGAGCCAAGTACATCACAAAAGTACTGTACTTGGATTTCTGTTTTCTTGGATCATCTGTTTTCTGATTAGAATATTATAGGTTAAATGAAAGCACAATATACATAATAGGTGAAAACATGTTTATTTTATTGCCACTGTTGGCTGAACTCTCAGAATGAGTAATATATGGAAATCTTTCTATAAAATTCATAATGTATTTATTAATAACATCACAGTACATTGCCTCGTATGATATATTGGAGAAGTTTTAGTCATTTTTTCTACTTTAGGCATAAGGATCTAATCTACACTTCAGAGTTGTTCTTTAAGTGATGTGACCTTACAGTTACAAAATTTCTCTATGTACTAAATATAACAAATACTGAAGAAGATTAGGAGAATTTGATCTTAACAAAATGTGAACCACCTTAATAATAACATCCATTGCTTTTAGAATGACTTCTTGTCTTAAATGTAACATAATTTTCTCATCGTCTGCTCAGTTAAAGAAACCTAGAAGATAATAAGGTTTCATTAGATAACTGATCACCAGTGGATCTACAGTCTAATTGATCAGAGGATGAATGAATGTGGTTCACAAAGTACAATATATTATAACAGGAGGCAATTTGTTTAGATCTTCAGTAACATAACATTTATTTTTTTTTTATTTTTTTTTTTTTTTTGAGATTCTCAGTTGTGCAGTGACTTTGAGATGTTTTCTTGTCTAAAGATATGAATGGGTATGTGGAGACGAGACTCCAGTTTTGCCATTGGCTATGAATGGAAGTAACACACACACACACGGTAGTTATACTATGAATACTTTGTGTATAGAGGTTGAACTCAAGTTTTATCATTGGTTATATTCCTTAGTTTACATTATGCTGTGACATTAGAGTTGATGGTGTCTCAAGAACCAGAGTACAATACAGAATACATATTGCCTAACCTTTACAAAAAAGGGTAAAATATGAACACCTGCATGAACATTCTACTAAACATTTAAGACATAAGAATTTAATTATTTCTTAGAGTGATTACATACAGAAAGGCAACTTTAAATGCAGTATCAAAAAAGTTACAATATTTGCCATGACACAGCAGTGTATTAAAACTATAACAATTATACAGTATTTGTATTACAGAACAAAATACTATAACTTAAAATAGTCTACACATATACAGTAATAGTGAATTAATGGTTCATAAAATGTCGGTTATGAATGTGAATTTTTTATATTGTATCAAATATCTGAGTAGTATTTTTTTTTTAATTTCCATAAACAGTATTTAAAAACTAATTATATTTTATAGGTTATTAACCCTTACATTGCCAAGTTTCAGACGATTTAGACGTCCCTCCACTGGTATGATTTACAACAAAATTTTATTGCTTGCCCGGTCGGGTACACAGTTGTTCAATTTATAGCAGTCTGATTATGAAGGGCTGTCAGTGTTGTCAAAAATTTGCTCACGAGTTTAAATTAAATAGCCCTATTGAAAAACATTCTTTAGTACAAATACTATAGTCGTAATAGGTAACTCGTATAATCAAACAAAATAATAATAATTATGAATGTTACGTAAATTGGTGATTTTATTTTTTCATAAATATAAGTAAAATATTAGTTAAATCTAAAATTAAATAATACAATAGATTGAAAATAATTCACAAGTAATAATTAGTGTAAATAGTGTCACAGCATACATATAAAACCACACAAAGACATCCGATACCATTGTATGCCATTGCTGTCTTAATCTTGGAAGATGCTAGCAACCTGTACAGTGAGAATTCTCACACACAATCACACCACATGAATACAAATTAGTGTCAATATAAATAAAAATTATCACAATCATTAAGGGCAGTCTTGGAACAAATGTCACACTTGTACTATATAATCGTTGATGGCAGTGTAAGGGCTAAATTCTTTTTACTGTTTAACTACTGTAAGCTCATGATAGTTATTAAAACTGATTACATTTTTTATTTATAGAGGTTACCATAATAATTCCAGTATATTTGTTTCTTAGTTTGCAAAGAACTGTACTCCTAAATAACTGTCTCATCTTGGACTAGTTATGGGGTGGAGTCTTGAGTCATGGAAAAGGTTGGCATTCCCAGGTTTCACTCTTAGGTGCAGGTTTCCTTAGTATATAAAACTAATTATGCTTTATTTCATAATTGGCTGGTTTAAGGAAATTACTTTGAGATCAAATTATTATATAATAGTAAATGCATTGGGGCCTATAACCCGGGAAAAGCCCAGTCATGCACTGCAATAATGTTAATTATAAAAAAACTGAGAGAAAATCACAGATATATAAGAGGTATAGTACTTGGAAATATTTGACAGTATGAATAATAGTATGAACAAAATACTGCACTTAACATTTAAGTAACATTGATTTGGATCAGTTTGTGTTTTCTTTAGAAGCTTTTAAAATAAGTGCAAAGAAAAGAAAAAACCTATTACAACAGCCACTGTATTTAGTTTGAAGTCTTTGCTGAGAGTTCATACCTCATTCCTCACTAGGGTTAAGGGGCAGGGGAAAGGAGAACTTCATGACAAAGACTACGTTAAGTGCAGTGCTCTTGTTTACTTCACGTGGAAGAAGAGTACACGTTGTGACTTGAACTACTGATAGATCTAAGAGCAGAAAGATTTCAACATGGCTCTGGTAACTAACCATCTGGACATTCCCGATTCAGGGCAGTGAAATGTTCATGTACAAAATAACTTTAAATGGAGTTTGTCTGTGGTACAAATAAATAGTTATTATCCACCACTTTCTACATGTTAGAAATAAGTACAGTACTATTAAAATATACTATTTTTACTAAACATAAACATATATAGAAAATGCTTCTAAATATTAGTGCATCAAGATATTGTGATTAATCCAGAGGTTTGTCATGGGTTTGATTACTTGACAATTATACACAAATAAAATAGCATTTGAGATAGCTTTGCTTTAGTTAATTGAAGGTCGTGATATTTAGCTGCTTGATATACTATATATCCATAAGCTGTCCAAAATTTACAGCTAAATTTTCTTTTCAGAAAAATATCCAAAGTTGATAAATTATGCATGTTTTAGATGTTCCATTCCATACACATCTTAATAAGAATGTTTTGGAACTTGCAAAAAGTAGACATTATATCTTTAAAGCTTGCCCAAATGTAGCAATATTGGGCCAAACATTTGGGCTGCAAGACCCAAGATTAATAATACTGAATCATGTGTCTGTAAACAACATGCTGAATATCTAACAAGGTGGATTACATACAGGAAGGAATAGATCCAAAGTTGGACAGTGATAAATGTGTGTATCACGCCTACCACACAATGTGATGCATTATGAAAATACTGGGTACTTAATGTAGGATTGTTATGTTGCAACCTCTTATTGATCAATGGAATGTTGTCCAGTAAAAATATATTGCTAACACTTCGTACATCTTGGTCACAATATTGATAAATATATATACAGTGTTTCTATCTTGTTTTTCAGCGCTTACCAGTATTGTACAATATACAAGAAACCTTAATAGAAACATTCCAGGAGTGACTGTTTCGTGGCTTTCAGAATTATTCTGATTCTACCAAGCTTTCATCCCAACAAATCAGTTCTCCAAATTCCATCTTTTGCCTACCCGGAGCCAGGTGCAGAATCTGGCTCATTTTACAAGGGAGGGGAACAAGTGTATTCTGCTAGTGGCTATTTCTTTATCTTTGTTTATGCTCCATGATTGTGTTTGTCACTGTTATTGCATGTGTCCTTGGATTCCATTTCACTCTGACCATTGCCAGGGTTTCCCTCTTTGGGGTATGGTTGCATTTTCCTGTACCCAACCAGCTATGCATGTTCTAAAGGATTGTGGAGTTCCTTCTAAGGAAGGAGACTGTATTCTCAGCTTAGAAAAACATTAGCATTGAGAGAGAGTGAGACTTGTGTACTTGTGCAAGTGAAAGACCTGCCTGTCATGCTGGCCCTGCTCCTGTGAATGTTTAAGAGCCAAAGGTGAGCATGGATCACTTATTGACACTTTGTGACCTATGTCTGCTTACTCACACTTGTCAAGGTTTAATATTCTTCACCTAGATTATTTCCCTACACCCAGCATGCCTGTCCTTCTGCATAATGGTTAGTATGGCCAATGGCTGTTGCCCATGTGTGATGGGGTTTATTATCTGGTAGAGTGTGTTTTAGGATGAATTGTTGTGGTTTCTCCATCGGATTCCATACTTGAAATTACTGTTTATAATTTTCCAGAATGTTCCTCTTGTGTTCATAGACTCAGATGGCTTTTCCTGTTGTTTCTATTATATGGCCTCCAGGGGTTGTTTTCATTCACAGGTATGTACTGTTGGTACATACCCACATGAAATATAAAAATACAAGTATGTATATGACATGATATATAAAATACTTGTGCAGTATTACAATATAATTCCTTAGGATATATGATATCACTAAAGTTTCATTTATGCTGTTTAGCTTGAAACAACTTTAATGTTTTAATAATAGAATTTGTGTTGGGGACAACCATTTGCTTTGGCCACATGTGCTGTGTAGTGATGCGCCAGTAGTAGATAGGTAACAGAATATAGCTACTAGATTGGCAACGTGTTCAACAAGCAAGAGAGTACAACTGCCGTCTAAGCACAGTTATACGTGGCACTAACCTTTTTACTCTTAAATAGTTTTCATTATCACTGTTCTGTATTAGAATTATAAACTTGTGCTGTGTTGGCATCAAGAATGGTAATGGGGAGCCTTGTTTACTAGTTGAAAATTGCTTCCCAAGTAATACTTGCTATACCAAAATCTATATGTGGACTTTACTACTGTTCAGTAATACATCTCTTCCTTGTGAAACCAACTGAAAAGGATTGAGCAAGTATCAGATAACAAAAATAGATCCAACAATGCCATTATCCACCAAAAAGTTTATCACCTCAACTAATGATTGAAGGCCTTCCTCAGTGTGGAGTTGGCGATCGAAAAACCAAGTACCGGAGACAACAAACTTGTGTATTATAGTGATGAAGGCATGCAAGAAATTTTCGCCTAGATCTCGCATTACATCAAAATAAGAGAGTTCCTCCACATCAGATGTTGCCTCTTGGCGAAGAAGTACTTTATTAAAAGCATTACAGTAATCATCACAGAGCTCCATATAACGGTCATGTAGTGTTTCTCCTTCAAGTAGAGTGAGCCAGACCCAAGCAGCATCACGGAGTGGTGGACTTTCCATTTCTTGACCACCTCTTAATCTTATTGCAATCATATCTTCATCTTCTTCCCCCTCCTGTGGTCTGATCCAAATATCTCTAGTGCAGACAGGACCCACACTAGGTACTTTACAAATCTGCATGGCAGAGGCAAATTGCAAAAACTGTGTTAATGTTGGAAGGTCAGACTGCAGAGCCTCCAATCGTCGAACGGTTCTTTCATTGCTGCCAGTATTCTGTAAAGTATCTACCAAAATTGACAAATTTGCCTCGACAATGTTTAACCGTGATACTTGTGCAGTCCACTTATCATTCACACAGCCTCTTTCCACTGGCCTGCAACTTTTTGCATCATTGCTCTCCCCAGTATTACTCTCTTCTGCATCTGTAGTGGCTGAAGTAGCAGAGTGAACTTCTCTTTCAGTTTGTTTAATTTGAGATGAAGATCCCCAAGATCTTTTGCTTTGTTTTGCTTGCTTTATGAGTGTGTGAGCATGTAGAGTGGCAAGAGCACGAGTGACTGAAAGTGCGTGCTCTGTAGTTAGATGGACATGAGGATAAGGCGAGAGACCCTGGGAGGCGAGATCGGCAGAAGTAGCTTGGATGACTGTAACCACACCACCCCGGTATAACAGTGCATGGTCAGGAGAGCTGCCCTCTCCCACTTCTGGACCCATGAAACATGCCGCTCCACACAGCATATCTGGACCAACCATGCCAATCAAGTTGCCTGGAAAATAAGTGCATGATATTAGTGATTTATGACAACTTTAATAATACAGTTTAGCATCGATATATGAAGTATAAAGCCAAAACATGTCGTGCATACTTTGAGTTTTGTTTTCTATAATTTGCTGCTAGAACTGAAAGTTTGCTTTTAAAGAGCGCTTGAAAAGTGAAACATAAATAATTTGATATGTGGTGTTATCCAAAAACTGAATAATGTCATCAATAAACTTCATACTAATGGAAGGCATTATAATTCATTTTGTTGGAACAGGCAGCCAGAGTGTATAATGTATATACATGTTAGCCTTGTATTGAGGTATCCCTAAAGTTGAATTACTGACCCCCCTTCCAGGATGCAACTTCACGACAAGCTGACTAACTCCTGGGAACCTACTTACTGCTAGATGAACAGAGGCATTGGGTGATAGGAAATGAGCTCAACCATTTCTGTCCCACCCTGGCTTTGAACCCAGAATTCTCAATTGTGAGTTGAGAATGAACCCAACTGTACTACTTTACCAGGACCTTTTTTATACATACTACAGTATTCACTAGAAGACATTATATATAGTGCATGTCATGTGTTTTACCAGGATTTTCTCGATCATGTTGCTAATTTACATAAATAGAACTTATGTGTTTCTAGCCAAAACATAGTTCTATGAATCGTGTATACTGTACAGTATGCTGAAATTGAACTCGTCAATTTATACAGTATTGATAATTTTCTGTTCAAGAAACTTGTTCCCTGTAGGTGCTGCCCATGCAGATCGCCCACAAAATAATGCTAATGAACATGGACATGATAAATGTTTAGCTATATACAGTTATTATTATTATTAGATTTAGATTAGATTTAGATTTTTTAATAAAGTAAAGGTACAGTACATACATTGAAGATGAGTTACAAACATAATGTTGGATTTAAAGATAGAGCTAGTACATACAATACCTAAAGCCACTAATACACATAGCGTTTCGGGCAAAAACAAAATTATTATTATTATTTACAGGTACTGTATATAATAAATCTTGGTTAAGTCAGTAAAAGTACATATATTTTATTACTACCTTAACAATTATTTTGGAATGAATACAATATTTGTATTAAAAGTTGCGAATACTAATACAGTACTAGAAAGTGCTATGTAATATAATTTTTTTTTTTAATTAGTGAGGAAAAGCACCTAGCCATTATGACTTTATAGCACTTCGAAGTGGTCAGGATAAGGATTTGAGATGGAACGGGGTGGGGGGGAAGGAATGGTGCCCAACCACTTGGACGGTCGGGAGTTGAACGCCAACCTGCATAAAGCGAGACAGTCGCTCTACCGTCCAATTAAAGTGGCTGGTCTATGTAATATAGGAAATTATACTTATTTGTGTATTATCCTTGTGTAGAAAGAGATTCTGATAAAACCTTTTGCAACACAAAATTGCTAGGAAATAAGATAAATTTTAAACTTTTTTAATTATTTACTAGGAAATTTTTAAGATATTCTTAAAGCAGTTGTCCTACTGCTTATGATAATGAATCTTGCTAGGTTACAGGCTATATAAATGCTGGAAATTCTTGATCTCTCCCTTCTCCAGTTAAACAAATCTATTTAGTTACATAAAATTTCAAAATGTTTAAATGTATGCATTTTAACAACAGATTAAAAGTCAGACTATAGGCAGATACATTGCAAACTTGTCATTAAATTAAACTGTGAATGGAGACGTCGGTTTCATTATGACCTTCGTTAGTACAGTACTACATTAACTGAACCAATGATATAAGAGCTGTAGCTTCACATGTATGCCAGAATTTGAATGATCCTGACAATGCTTCAGGCACTTGGGTTAATGGGATCAAATTGCTGGTGGGTTATGAAGTAAGAAAGCCTGCATTTTGTCACTTCACTTTCGTTGTCATGTGCACATTCTAAATCTTTTTGTATAGTTTTAGCAAGTGTTTATTTTGATATCCTCTCTAAATGGTTTTGTAATGTTGGTAGTCTTCTGAAACATACTGGTAGTGCACAAGATTTTTCTAAAACACTGGTGGTATTATGTTACTGGGATAGTCTTGAAACCTAATGCATACAAGAGTGTGTGGTAATGTTAGGCTATTGAGACTGGTGGTGGTACTGGGATCCTGCAATGGTCTAGCACTGTTACTAGGCTCCATGAACAGCTTGATACCGGTGTTAAAATCAGCGGGACACTTGGTTTTACCATTAGATTAAAAAAAAAGTAGCAATGTTAAGTTTCCAAGATTCTCTAGTAGCAGTGGTAGGCTCTTGGAATAAATTGTATGAGATTTTGTGCATATTATAGTGGTGTTGGTTGGCAAGGGAATATTCCAAATGGAAAGTAGAAAATTCCAGTTTGGCAGCAGGATGCTGGTTCTAGAAACTTTCCTTTATTAAGACCACTCAATAGCCCAGTCAATAGAGCTTCGGCCTCACATGCATGGAGTCCACGGTTCGAGTCTCCTAGAGCCCAGGTGAATTGAATGTTTATTTCCACGGAAGTGTGGATGACAATTTATATGACGTGGACCACTAATTCCTCTTGAGCTTCAGTAGTAGTGGTTCATGGTTCAGGTTGAGCAAGAAAGGCGATATAAAGGGGTGAACTTGAAAGATTCTAATTTTATATATGGCTGAGAAATTGGAGGTGTGGGAGCGCAGACGCATAGTTACCGTGTATTACAGTCTGTAGTGTATGAGTGGGCGCTTGCCCCAAGGTGACAGCCGAAGGCGCCAGGTTGCTTTGTGTGGGTGTCGTCACTGTCTGATAGACGGGCGGCAGGCGGGTGGGTGGCAAGCGGTCATGCTACCCATTGCCACCCTCCCTCCCGCCACATCTTGTCCCTACCTCACCTCGCCTACCCCCATCCTCATACACACAGTTGTACCACTCCACAACACCCGTCTGGGCACCTACACCACCACCACCTTGCATTATCTGCCCAAATAATGTGTGCTGCCTCACATTCCAACTTATCATCCCCTGCTGTATAGTCAATGAGCACCTCGTCTTCCTACCCGGCGTCTCCTGCACCTCGGTAATTGATCATGGGTGAAGCAGTCTCCGTGGTGTAGTGGTAAGACACTCGCCTGGCGTTCCGCGAGCGCTATGTCATGGGTTCGTATCCTGGCCGGGGAGGATTTAATGGGCGCAATTCCTTAACTGTAGCCTCTGTTTAACGCAACAGTAAAATGTGTACTTGGATGAAAAAACGATTCTTCGCGGCAGGGGATCGTATTCCAGGGACCATAGGATTAAGGACTTGCCCGAAACGCTACGCGTACTAGTGGCTGTACAAGAATGTAACAACTCTTGTATATATCTCAAAGAGGGGTGCGAGAATTTTGTTTCAATGGTTTATAAAGCGATATTGTGTATATCGAAGTTATATTATAGGGAAAAATCAGCGCCTGGCTTACACTGACTGATAAACGCATCATTTATGCTACTCTATGCACGTTATACTTATGCTTACCGATTAAATTTACAAATTAAAATTACAGATCTGATTTGTTTAACTTCCTGGCCTTCAGTGGGCACAAGAGCGGCATTGGTTCGATGTTTAGTCTGTGTTATCAACGTTAATGACCTTGATTAGCGTCAACGTCATTAACGCCCACTTGTTGATTAATGAGTGGGCGGGCCTGGCCCCGAGGCGGGAGGGTGAATGGGGGGGCATGGCCCCCGAGGCGGGAGGGCGAGTGGGCGGGCCTGACCCCGAGGCGGGAGGGCGAGTGGTCAGGCGTGACCCTGAGGTGCAGCCTGTCCTATTACTGAACGCACTATTTTTTACACATGCGACTCCAGCATAAAAATTGCGGTGGTGGAGTGAAATTAAAAACACCGCAATATTGACTTCATGAGGCTAATGATCATCAGCGCCGCTGGAACACTCCCTCAGTGTTAAAGAGAGAACTCGATAAGCACCTCCAAAGGATACCTGATCAAGCAGGCTGTGATTCATATGTCAGGCTGCGAGCAGTCGCGTATGGTCAGTCAACAGCCTGGTTGACGAGTCCATCAACCAGGAGGCCTGGTAGGGGTCTTGGGGACTGGGCCGCTGGAACGTTAAGTCCCGAAATCATGGCAAAGGCAAGATGAAGTGGATAGCCTGTGTTCTGACACTTTCGGTTAGTGGATAGCCGAGACCTACCTAGGTGGGTGAGAGGGGGGCATGTGGGTGGGTGTGAACCAGAGACCCATACTACGCAGTGTGCTTTGTGTACGGCTGTAGAGAAGAGAAGAGGCGAGGAACAGGTTGAGGGTACCTGTGGCGACCAAGGTCAAACAAGTGCGCATCGCCCCCATCATTACTGCTAATTTTAATTCATTGTGTCGGGAGACAGAAAGCCAGAGTGTATTCATACACGTTTGGATTTTATCGAGGTTCCCCACCCCCAGGCATAATTATTGACCCCGCCCAGGATGCAACCCTACAGCAAGCTGACTAACTTCTGAATACCTACTCACTGCTAAGGGGGGGGGCGGAAGGGAGGGTTTCATTAGGTGAAAAGGAAATGTGCCCAACCATTTCTTTCCCACCCGGAATTCGAACCCGGAATTCTGGATTGTGCGTCGAGAACGAACGCGACAGTACTACCATGACCCTAGTGCCTATTAACAACAACTTGCCACAGTCGAGGTATTCTTCAGTGGTCTCTTACAGTCGGGACGCTCTAGGACCTGCAGAAAGCGTGGGTTGTTGCATAATTTGCCAGGAGCTTCCTGCGTAATTTGTGCTACAATCAAATTATTATGCAAATTATGTCACAACAGCAGCCATAACATTTCCCCGTAAATTGTTCTGATGTCTACCGTGGGTTGGTGTTATACTTGCAACAGTTATATTTGTAATTTAAATTTTATTATAATATTGTATTGTGTTGATGCGTGTGTGTGGTTGGTTTAAGTGAGCTGTAGACTAACATGTCTAGGTATGGCAGCACTGTACAAAGTGTCCAGGACTGCCATATACCTCCACAT